ATTCTTGCCTTCGCTTTCTCCGTTCTGAGATTTAGAAACTCAAACTGCACCCATCATTCCAACCACGGAGGAGAGCCCTGAATTTTGGACTCAAAAGCAAATCAGGAGGATGGTCTTACCAGGACCTTGTGCAAAAAACCCCCTAATACCATGGGCTGTAATGAGGCACTCTGCAAATACAGTATATAAAAGATTTGTGCCCCTAAACACAACATCTATCCCATATAATCCTTGACCAGAAGAGAAACACTACAAAATCTATAAATCAACCAGGAACTCTTACACGCAGGTCAGTTTTTCAGATAACAAAAATTTTATCTCAAAACTTACTCAACGTAGCTTGCAAAACTTCTGCACTAAAACGCCTCTCATCAGTTCCCTAAATCCTCCCAATAAATCCAATAGCACCCTCGGCCGGTATGGCAACAGACAGGTAACCCAGCCAATCAACGTCTGCTATGATAAAGCAGGGCTCTTATAGGAGTTTCTTTTTCTTTACCCGCCCAACTGGCAAACCGATTGGTGGAAAAAACACAATAAAATGTGATAGTGTGTGGCAAATCAAGTTTATTTATAGCAGTGTTTCATGGCAACAGTAAAAAAAGGTCACTTTGTTCTGAGTTATTTGTTCAATTTCCCAATTGCCCTAGCACTCTTTGGGAAACCCTAATTTTAGTAGTAAACTAGTTCAACATTCCTTAGCTTTGTCTTTTGTCAGCTAAGCCTGACAAAGTGCCATCAAATTTGTGTCAACATTAAAATAATGAAGATTTGAAAAACCCATAGTTACAATATCCTGCTATCTATCATTCACACAGTGGCCAGGTTCATACATTCTAGTAAAGATGTGGTTCTCAACTTTTCATATCTTAAACAGTCTATCAAGTAAGTCAAGCCTCACCATGAAAGAAACAAGAATGTCCAGTGAAAGGCATTTATAATTCTGGCTATCCAGGCATGCTTTCATTTACAGCAGGTTTTAAATGTTTCAGATTTCTGGTTNTAAGCAAGAAGCTTGTCAGAAAATGAGGAAAGGATTTGGAATTAAATTAAAGTAAGGGAATGCTGAAGAGGATAGTTTGGGGATTTGTACAGGGATTACAATGATATGTGAAAGAGTAGAACTGAAATGTTACAAACGTTAGTGACCAAGGCTAAAAAAAACGTTGAAAGGAAGTCAAAGATCCTGTGAAAATGTTTTTTAAAAATGACAAGGCTGAAGGCTCAGTGTATTAAGAGAATGGTTAAAAAATGGGATGCTTATGGAATGGGGTAATTTGTTTGATGTTCATACATTTGTACCTGATGATCAGGAGAAAGGAAGAATCAGTGATTGCAGAAAAAACACATGGATTAATTTTTTGATCTTAAAACCAATAGAAAAGGGGCTGGACCAAATTCTGAATTGGTATAAGACATGATGATAAACAAAATAAGTTGGAAGCATATATTGCAATACCGCTTTATTCCAGGGGTAGGGAAAACCAGTTTTTTTTTGTTTTTTTATTTTTCAGCAGGCCATTTAGAATGTGAAACAATCTGCTGTAGTTTTGTTTCGAAGAAGTATATGATAAAATGGCTTCAATTATGGAAAGCTTTGCATAAATATGGAGGTTAATTACTGAATGCAGTAATAGTTTGTATGATGAAAGTAAAACATGTATGAGAATATTCTGTGAATGTTTCAATATTGAGCAGGTAGCAGACAAGCAATGTCTGTTCCTTTGGATGTTTAACATATTTTTGATATATGTATAAAATATTTGCGTGATATCAGAGGTTTGCTGGTTGGCATGTGATATATATATATATGTATGCACAGAACCTGAATGATTTATTACAAGTGATATTTCACTATATGATGCATCAGTGAGCCTGGATGTGGAAATTAATGAATCAAAGACTAAGATAGTTGTATCAGTTAGGGAAAATTGGGCAAATAATTGTGTTATACATAAATGATGAAAAGTAGAGCAAATAGATAAATGCATATACACTTATCATTGAATACAGTAAAGATGGGAAAAGAGCTAGAGAAATTTTGAGGCATGCAAACATTGAAACTTAAGGAGTGAGAATATATATTCTGTTATGAAGAAGGAAAATTAAAGAACCAAAAGTGTCTGTATATCAGTATGCAGTAAAGTTGTTAAGTGAAAGAGAGGGTTGGGTATGTCAAGAGAAATAGGAAAAAAGATGAATGCTACAAAAAAAACAGATAGTGTGCATACCAACTAAAACAGGAAGCAGCAGGATTGGGAATGAAGAAGTGCTGAATAAACGTGCAAAAAGTGACTGACCAGGATGCTCTTATTAAGGAAGTTGGGATCAGACACTTTGCCAATCTAAAGTATTACAAATCCTCTGTACAGCGCAGACCTACTCTGTGTGCAACCCATAATTGAAAGAACTGACTCCAGTTTCCGCACCCAATCTCCTCTCCCACAGTACGTGATCCACATTTGGGTGTGTGTGTGTTAAAGGCTACCATTCGTGTTTTCTCTAGGGAGAATGCTACATGGCAGCTTTCTGCCATGTTCACCCTCCTTTTTAGAGAATAACGTTTTCAGAATAACAGCCTGTAAAATCGTAGCTCTTTATTGCTAGCCGCTCTCGCGGTTTCCTTTCCGCCGATTTTGGCGCATCGCGACCTTTAGAAGCGAAGCTTTTGCTGGCAGGCAAACGTGGCTTCACTCAAGGGGGATTCGGACTAATTTCTTTCTTCTCGCGCCCCGCCTTTTCTCATTGGCTGGCCTTTTGCGCGTCTACCCCCATCTTTTCCATCCGATTGGCCGCTCAGCAGTTTTAACTATTCCTCTCCGGCCTTCTCATTGGTATTTTCAAGCGGTCCACCTCCAACTTTAAACAGTGATTGTTGCACCCCTTCCCCACCGCCTACCTCTCCTTCCTTTTTCAGTTTTTCCAGCTCTTGGGGGTGGGAGGGAGAGGGGAAGACCGATACCCACGCAGCTCCGGAAAGCTGGGGAAAAAAGGGTGGTGCGAATAAAGACGCATCGGTGAGTTAGCAATAACGCCGTGCCCTGCCTCTTTAAGGCATGCCGCTGGAACAGCTGGCCTAAAAGGAGCTAGAGGGCCGGTGCTGGGATGGATAAGAGGCGTTAAGGCAAGTTCGGCGAGAGAGAAGCAGAGCAGAGTTAAGGGGGCGCCGAGTTCTCGCCTCTCCCGCAAGGCAGCGTAGTGGGAGAGGAAAAGGCCTCCTAGATCTAGATCGACGTCTCCGAATGAAGGGATTTCCCTTTTTCTTTTTCTGAAATGACGCGAAGCCCGCCGTTTCCCTGGGATTCCCAACGTTAGCTCTTTCTCCCTTAAGAATAGCGCTGTCAGGAAAGCGGGCTAGTATCCCAGAGGGTGCAGTGAGAAGGAAAAAATAGCTTTCGGGAGGTGGAGAAATTATGCTAGAAAGGAAACGAGAAGTGAAGGGTTACTTGGAGTTGCAGGACAGGGCTCGTTTGATTTTCCTTTCGAATCCTTTTGTCTAAAGCCACATTCCCCTCCTCCATTCTGTGCTCCTGCGTTTCCTTCCTGCCTCTGTACCTGTCTGTTACGCCACTGACCAGCAAATCCGCAGGGTTCCTGTTTCATGTTAAACCATAATATGCTTTGATTGGTCTTGGCTTCCTGTATCGTGTGACTCCGGATTACGATGGTTTACCAACTCATGATGACATCATGTTTAATGCAAATGTACCATTCCGGCCATGTCTTCCTTCCTAATGCAATGCTTCATCAATTCATTAGCTGTATATTACTCCTCACCAGCCATTTCTCTACCCCTATGTGTAGCTAGGCTTAGTGTTAATTCAACCTTGGAAAACTGAAGTAGAATCAGAATTTATGCTATTATTGTGTGACTGGTAACTGGCCTTCTGTTAATGATGGTCCCTTTGTCCCCCCCCCTTCCCCCAAAGGAGCTCTTTTGGAATATGTTTTTATTCCTAAATTGGGTCTACAAATAGTAAGAATTAGTTCCATGTAAGGAGATACAGAAAGAGTTTGCATCAATGTAGAAGCTATAGTTTGCTCAGCTGTACTGCAGAAATAATCAGATTCTGTGGATTTTAGCAGAATGTACTTCCATACAGTAATTGTTTATGGATTTATTTAGTTGATTTATATCTGTGTCTCTTCCTCTGTAGAATTTGGGGAGGCATGGATGGACTGTATTCCTACAATACCATAAACTTAAAAATAACATTTTAGTTCATTATATTTTGTGATTTCAGCTTGCATAGTTAATGGTTCAGCATGTTTTGTGTACAAAATGAGACTGATTGAACAAGCCATAGTTAGGTTAATCACGAGAAACACAATCTTGCTGCCATAGTTATATGGTTTTCAGACTCATCTCTGCTAAGCTACATTTAGTGCTGTCAGACCAAGATAATACTTAGACTGGATTTCTATGCTGCTGTTTCAAATCTACAGTTCTAAAACCAAAGGGAAACAATAGTTACAGAAAGGAACATTGGGTTACATTGTGCCATTGAGGGGGAAGGTGTGTCTGAGATGATGAACCTGGTTACATGGATTTTATGTCAAGGAATACTAGACCTGCTGACTGGCTGGCTTTGGTATGCCTAACTATAACTAGGCTCAGACCATGCACTGAACCACAAATGGCCTAACTATACTGTAGGTAGTAGGTTATGGCAATCTAGCTTGGGTGGTTGGTTGATGTATAGTTCAGTGTGTTGTATGAGCCCCAGAAAATGGGCGTTAAGGAAATTATAGTTAAATAAAACATTAATAAGCATTGTATAAACACATCTTTTATCTCTGTGCATGTCTTGAAAGTTCAATTATTCTCCCAGTAGAGGGAGGTTCTTTCAACTAGAATAATCCCAGTTTAAGAACAGGACTGGGTATAGCTTATTCCAGGCTTTATTCTTTGGATTTATAAATGATTCAGAATAATCTTGAGATTATTAACGTGATGTGCTTGCTCCGCTTCTCTTTCTGTCTCTTTCCAGGTTGGGGCCATGGCCACCTTTACACGGCAAGAGTTTTACCAGCAGCTGTTGAGCAGTTGTGTATTGCCGACTGCTCAGCAGGGTTTTGAACAGGTTTGGACTCTGCTGCTCTTGTGTCTAGCTTGCCGTCTCCTATGGAGGTTATGTAAGTAGAGGCTGAGTTTGCATACATATGAGATAAAATTGAAGTAGCTAGTTTCCAGCTCAGTGTTGTTTGCTTGCAAACATTTCATTATCCAACTAGGTGACATCATCGGCATGAGGGAGTTTGGGGATGATGCAGCCTGTTTATATATAATAATTTGTCCCACAAGTTTTGGTGGGTATGTAGTTTTCTCCTTGACATGGATATTTTTTTATTATATACACACACACACACTCCATATTATGGCTAGGTGTGTTGCGTGAACCCAGCCACGGTGAGCTTCTCTTTCTCTCATCCAAGCTCCCTGCCTCTTCTTTTCCAGCTCTGCCATCCTATGCTAAGCACCTGAGCACGGTCGCTAGTGGCTTCTATGCCCTCTATCACTTTTTTCAGCTGCAGATGGTGTGGGTTGTGCTCCTCAGCCTCTTGTGCTACCTGGTTTTATTCCTGTGCCGCCACTCAACCCAGCGTGGAGTTCTGCTCTCCATCACCATCCTCATCTATTTGCTTATGGGGTAAGTGAGGAATGTGGGGGGGTGTAATTAAAAGGTTGACACAGCCAAGAGCAATTCATGAGGAAAGGATTAACTAATACAGTAGTATGTTGCACCAACAGGAGAGACTAGTCAATAAGTGGGACACCTTTTATAAGGGAGCACAAGGTAAACAGGTCCTTAAGAGTTGGAGGCTCTTAAGAATGTATATTTATTCTGTTTTGGCCAGCCCCATTTTCTGAGGTTTACCTACTTCATGGGTGGAAGCCACCCAAACCACCTATACTTGTCCAAATAAAAATAAGTTGAATAATTCTTAGGTTTTAATAACACATTTTATTTTTTTATTAAAAAGGAGGGTAACTTTTACAAACTTAACCCACCCAAACCACAAGATGCTCTCAAATCAGTTCCCAAGATAGTAATTGCCAAGTGGGGTAGAGTTGACTATGTTACTGATATTTACATTTTTTTTGATGGCCAGATTGAGAATAGTAAGTTAAATTGTCTATCCCTGTGCCAGTTATTATCCTCCAGATGTGTTAAATGTATCATTAGTTCTGTCTGGGAATTATGGAATTATAATTCAAAATAGTTGGAGATTGCCAGGTTGAGAAAAGCTGGGCTTATCTAAATAATACTGTAAACAAGTCAACTAAGGCACAATAAGTTAATAATCTTTCTTAGTATCCATACATAAACTACCATTTTAGCTCCTCCAAAATTTACAAGCTGCATTTTAACAAAGATTTGTATTTCATTTATTTCCAAACCTGATTTACAGTATCTTGAAACCAGTATTCATACTAATAAACATTGTTGTTGGTTGAATGTCCTGATTTCTGACTCTTTGAGGTTTGGAGGGCACAATAATAGCCAAGTCTGGTTAAAATGCAGCATGCAGTTGAGGGAGAGGGGTTAAAGTGTTAAGTATATGTGTATTTGTATCCTTGTTGATGGTTTTTAGTGTGTATTGTTGGAAATAGCATTAGAGAGAGGTTAAACCAATGGACCAAGAAAGCTGACCAATTGTTTTGGTAGGTCAATGGGAAATGCAGGAAGGAAGGCATCTGTGTCAACAGCTGGAAGCAAGTATGGACAAGAATGAATTAGAATATTCTTTATTGGCCAAGAGTGATCGGACATACAAGGAATTTATCTCTGGTGTATAAGCTGTCAATGTACATACAAAAAAGCAAAGTGATAAGTTATAGATCATAAATCACAAGATATAATCATCAATCATGAGGTACAAACAAGTCATAAATCATAAGATACTAATAGGAGAAGGTAGTAGGAAAGATGAGAAAGATGAGAAGATGAGAAGGATAATAGCAATACAGCCCGACTACATCGGTCAATATCTTAAGGCATAAGACAGTGCTGTGGAAGTTAGGTGTTTAACAGAATGATGGCATGGGGGAAAAAACTGTCTTTGTGTCTAGTTGTTTTGGCATGCAGTGCCCTTTAGTGGCATCCTGAGGGGAGAAATTGAAACAGTTTATATCCTGGATGTGAGGGGTCTGTAGATATTTTCTCAGCCCTCTTTCTGGTTCGTGCAATACTGGATTACTGTATTTACTGTAATAACATAGCTATTACTGGAAGATTCCATAAATTTTGGAGTGGAGCAGCCAGTTTTCAAGGAAAGCAAACTAACAAGTTATAATAGCATAATTCCTGGAGTCTGTTGCATTTCTAGTCACCCAGTCCTTTGACATGAAGGTACTCCTTTTTACTGGAAAGTTCAGCAAGAAGAGAATTTGGAAACTTATCTGGATCTTAGGGAAAGGAAAGATAGCAAATAAAGGACTGATACTCAAAGATAATGATTCTTTTTTTGTTTCCTGCTTTTCCCTCCTCCTCTATAGAGAGATGCATATGGTAGACACTGTGAGTTGGCATAAGATGAGAGGTAAGTGACAGTTCTCCTTCTGTTCATATCTGGTTTTAATGTGATAAGGTGTAATAGAAAAATCTATGTATTGAAAGAAAGTGCTGCCTTTCCAAAAGCATAAAGTACTATTCAGCATGTGTACCAATCATAGCTTTGCAGCTAGGAAATTCTATCAAGACTTATAAACTGAGTTGTTATTAGAAGGAATGATACTTTTCTTATATATGGGCTTCCATTCATAAATCCCATTGGATCTGAATACCTTTGCTGGATCAAAGAAAAATAATTTGTGCTCGTAATAAATTCTTTAAGTTGCTTGTTAAGAATGTCAGCATTGACCCTCTCTCTCCTTTCTACCACTAGGTGCCCAGATGATTGTGGCAATGAAGGCTGTGTCATTGGGCTTTGATCTGGACCGGGGCGAGGTACCAACCATTCCATCCCCAGTTGAGTTCATGGGATATATCTATTTTGTTGGAACAGTTATTTTTGGACCCTGGTTCCGCTTTCACACCTATCTGCAGGCTGTAGAGAGCAGGAAAATAGTGAGTGCACTCTAATGTCTATTATTGGCAGTGTGGTGGGCAAGATCTGGTTGGTGGGAAAAGGATGGGCCACATTTAGCTTTGAAGATTTATTAAAAATGACACTTTCAGCCTGGACATTTTTCTCCAGGCTTCCTATAGTTGCAAATGATCAAGCCATGACAGAGTTCTTAATTTTTCTATTTAGACTCAAGAGTTGGAAAGGTTTGGGCCATGGAGAAATAAGGACTTCTATTTTTTTTTATAGAAACCATACTACAGTTATGTTTATGAAATTATTTGAATTAATTGATTGTTTTCTTTCATTGGCCAGAATAGAAGCAGCCATATTTTTACAGAGTAGTTGGATAGCATTCTGCCTACATCTTTCAGTCTTTCTTATGTAGAGGAGAAATAGTAAAGTGGATGTTGAACACTATTCCAAACCTTCAATTCATGAAGAATTTCTATAAAGTGCAACCCTTCCACTAGTTCAGCCTCTACCAGCTTAATCATTCCATTAAGAGAGAATTGTGCCACCTTGGGGGGGGCAGGGAGGGATGCCCTCGGTCTTTGAATGACTTGCTAAGAGTCCCATTGCAAAACTCAGGTGGGTGGGGACTAAGAAGTAGGAAGTAAATAAGCACACAATTAAATAGAAGTGAACTGATTTAAAATATAATTAAATCTTACTTAAACATTTATTTACATGCTACCTCCACCAGCAGAGTATATCTAGACAATTATCGGCCACCCAAGTGGATCAGATAGGAAACACACAAGATGAGCCAATTCTACTTTATTGTAAGGTTTTTTAAAACAGAATCTTGCAGGTCTGAGGTTACAAATCTTCCACTGTCATTTACAACTGATAAGTTAGGGTAGATCCTTTCTAAATTCCTTCCTCTGCCTGTTACTCAGCTGCGGCTCAAGGTTTTTGTATCTATGCATGGGGTTGTACTGTGGGGACTGTTTTGTAGCTGATGGAGATGAATGTGAATGAAGAACTACAGGGACTGGAGTCCACACAGAGGATGCTCATTACATAATGATTGGTTTTGATTCTTTCCACATAGACTTTCTCCTGGTTTCAGAAGGTCTTTCTGAGCTTCTTCCTCTGCCTTGTGTGCCTCATCATGTCCACCTGCATAGCTCCCTATCTCTTCTCATACTTCATACCCCTCTACAGCTACAAGCAACTCAGGAAGTAAGTGCCTTGTTTTGAATTGATGTTCTAAGACTCAATTTCTCATACGTTCCGTAGCTGGAAATGAGTGTATTAAGGAAACTTGCCAGCAGAGTTAAAGGAGCTTTCAAATACCAAATTTGAATTAGAAATCAAGTAGATTTAGAAAAAAAACCCTGAGAAATATAAACATGAAATGTTTTGAAGTTCCTTATTCTTTACCTAAATTAATGCCTCCATCAACACTCTTCCGGCAATACCTCTGGATTTTTAGCTGTGACAAGACACTTCTTGAGTTTAGTATTTTTAAAAGGACTTTTAGTATTCCCTTGATTTATTTTGGGGTTGGCTTTATGATGCCATCAGCACTGGATAAAAGGAAATGGAGTAGAATCGACTTGAAATGTCAGCTCATTTGTATGCAGATCACCAGCTCTACACAGATAGTTTGGAAGCAGTAGTCCACTTTAATCCCAGTCTTTCATTCTAAAAAGTACTGCTTAAGGAGTGTTGTGGTTATATGCCAGTATGTTCTGGAAGGCTTCTGATTGTCATAATATTTTTAGTAGGGTGTCCATCTTGCAATTGAAGATGATTGTGATATCTGTAATTAGAAAGATTGGGATAGTGCCTCAAGCACCCGATGTTGGATCTAATCAAAAAAGAAAACAGCAAATTGTTAGTTATTTAATTTAGCATTTCTCTTTACCATCCAGAAGAGATTCTTGCCAGATATTGTGTCTCAGAAGTGAAAAACGACCTGAGGGAAGCACCATTTACCATTCCGTTTCCTCATTAAGTTGATTACGACAGAGAAAATCTTTCTCTCCAGATGAGGGTTCTTAATGATTCATCTTGTACTTTCATCATCAGATTAAATATAGTGCTGTGGTAGAGAGCTAGTGCTGTGGTAGAGAGCTGAGCATTTGTCTGTGTGAATATTCGGACTATAGCAAGTCCACTTGGCATTTCCTACAATTAAATTGTAGGTCTTAAATTTTATCTAAGCTGATCATTTATTTCTAAACCACATCTTGCTTATCTTAACCTGAGAAAAAGAGGATTAGAACCATACTGAAGCTTGTAGTTCTGATACTTGAATGTTGTGTAATCCTACACTGCATGAAACAGAAAATCCAAGGAAAAATGAAACATTTTTATGTAGGAGTAAGGAATTGTGATTGTTTAGAAGTGGCTGAATTCTCATCAATGGCAGCCAGCAACAGGGAGAGATCCTGCAAATGGTAGCTCATCCACCTCAGTAGGCCTCTGGTTTGGTGACTTCACATTTTGGGTTTAACAGTTGAGAGGTCAAGAGAAACTCAACAATTGTGGCATCTTTCAACAGCATGGGGAGAAGTTGTGCATGTCATACTTTTCCCGCACGTAGTTAACTTTCTCAAGAGGTGCTTTTTCAGAAAAAACACAATTCAGAATGTACAGTGACTTAATGAACTTCTTTTTTCTCTCTTTCCACCAACTTTAACTTTGTTTAATCCTTCTCTCTCCTCCCTTGCTTTCTCTCTTTGGGATCACATCCCTCGTGACAGGAAGCGCAGAAGCAGGTAATATGATTTAGATGATAGCATTTGGGTTCTTTTTTCCCCAGTCAGACATCTCGTTCACAATTCTTGACAAATACATGACTGTTGTGTACATCTCACCGTCAGACCATTTGTTCTGTCACTTTATTGGGAACTTTGTGATACGAGATTTCTTTCAAGCTTACTTCAGAGATGTTTGTGGCCCAGCAATTGTGGCCACAATTGCTTGTAGCACACTGGCATCAAGTCATTATCGCTCATTATTTGAGACAATATGTCTTCAGAGGTCTCTAACCTCACCTGTGGCCTGTAGGCATATATATTTCTGCATTGGTACCTCCTATAGTAGCTTTGCTCTAACGGCATGTATAGGTCTGCCTTATTATCTTGAAGGCATTCAGGGGCTCTATTCCTCCATTGCAGAGGTGTTGTCTAAATTACGTAACAATCAATTTTGACAATTAGTCATGTGAACTACAGTCAGTAGATATCAAAAATTAGTTTTTTATTCTCAGCGTGCTATCACACTTCATCCAATATTAGAAAAATCTGAAAGACATTTTTACTGAGAAGATGGCTGAAAAATGGACATCCCGTTAGTAGAATTAAAACTGCTGAGAAGTTGTTAGATAATATATTGGAACTCTACTGGTTGTTGGAGAAGAAGAGAGGGTATGAAAAGCCAAACACATCCCAGCTCGATAGCCAAGTGAATTTATGCTTTGTCCACCTAATAGTATGGTCAGCCCTAAATGAAGGAAATAGGCTCATTCTTGGTACAGCAGCTATTATTGGAAAGCAGAAAAGCAGATGATCAGTCTGACCATGAGACTTTCTCATTAGAGATCAGATTGTTCAGCTGGAAGTAATCAGTCCAGAATGAACTTTTTCTAGAACTTCAAAGGTTCTAGGTGGAACTTGATTGGTTTCCCGAGAAGGAAATGCCACATCATGGATGCTGGAAGTAAGACATTGGAACCTAATTTTGGGATCCATGAGGCAAGATATCTGTTATTATATATTTCAGAAGTCAATGCTTTAACAGCAACTACTTTGCCTGTGAAGAGTATAACAAGTTTAAAATTAGGCAAGAAAAACCAAATGCACAGGTATAGTATAGGTGGTACCTTGCTCAATAGTAGCAACTGTGAGAAGGATCTTGGAGTCCTAGTGGGCAATCATTTAAATATGAGCCAGCAGTGTGCTGCAGCTGCCAAAAAGCCAACACAGTGCTAGGCTGCATTAACAGAGGGATAGAATTAAGATTACATGAAGTGTTAATACCACTTTACAATGCCTTGGTAAGGCCACACTTGGAATACTGCATCCAGTTTTGGTCACCACAATGTAAAAAAGATGTTGAGACTCTAGAAAAAGTACAGAGAAGAGCAACAAAGATGATTAGGGGACTGAAGGCTAAAACATACAAGGAACGGTTGCTGGAATTGGGTATGTCTAGTTCAGGGGTAGGCAACCTTGGCTCTTTTATGACTCGTGGACTTCAACTCCCAGAATTCCTGAGCCAGTCATGGCTGGCTCAGGAATTCTGGGAGTTGAAGTCCACGAGTCATAAAAGAGCCAAGGTTGCCTACCCCTGGTCTAGTTTAATGAAGAGAAGGACGAGGGCTGACATGATAGCAGTGTTCTAATAGCTCAGGGGCTGCCACAAGAGGGAATCAAGCTATTCTCCAAAGCACCTGAAGGCAGGAGAAGAAGCAACGGATGGAAACTAACCAAAGAGAGAAGGAGAATTGCTTTTTTGTTAAGGGAGCATGGCAAAGAAAGACAAGAGTAATCAGAATGCGAACAAAAAAAATGGAAGCTGAGTCAAACAGGAGAGATCTTGTCACATAATCACCAGAAAATCTCCCCCTCCCAGTTTAAGTGGGAATAGGAGGTTTTTAGGAGGCTTCCAGTATTGATTAATTTCTTACTTGTTTTCTGCTTGGCGTCTCTCCTTTTCTTTCCTTTCTTGTGCATGCCAGAAGTACCTTAATGAGGTAAGTCTCCCTGGGGGCTTTAAACGTCTCTTGGAAAAGTGGGTGTGCAAATGTTTCATGAGTTTCTAAATTCTCTCTTCTTATGTGCAGGTGGCTCAGGGCTTACGAGAGTGCCAGTTCCTTCCATTTCAGCAATTACTTTGTGGGCTTTCTGTCTGAGACCACAGCCACCCTGGCAGGATCAGGTTTTAGAGAGGAAAAGGAGAATCTGAAATGGTGAGTGGGGTGGAAGATGGCGCCTGGGATCCTTTGCTTAAAATCTTAAAATTCTCAAAGCACAATTGGGAACAAAGTAGGCAAATTGGAAACGTCTTTATATATATATATATGAATAGCGTCGTCTGGTGAAGCTTTTAATATGATATATTTTAGGAATGAAGTAAAAGTTCATTTTTCTTTTAGATTTTGGTAATCCTCTTAACTTTTGTTACTGTTTTTATTCCTAGTCTTCTTTCGAGCTTTCTCTCAGCTTCTCTCCAATGAGCTCAAGGCAATATGCAGGACTCCTGTATGCAAAAAAAAAAAAAAAGCCACAAAAATTTTAAAAAAACTATTACCTATTCTTTGCTCCAAGGTGTCTTTTTCCACAGTGGCTTTCTTCCAAGGGGCAGTTAGAAGAAAGTGCAGAGCACTGATTCCTTAAAATGACATTTATTCACAATCAATTTCATGCATATTGCATGTATTTAGTTGAAAACCTCCTGTAATTTTACATTCCTCTGTTTGTCTACCTTTTGCATGCCAGTCACACATTTTTCCTCACTCATCAACAGCCTCTCAAGGTCACAAGTTCAGCCACCCAGTCCTAAGCAAAGGCATGGGATAAAGATCCAACAGTAGAAAGGGGAGCTCCATAGGCTGGGGATGCTTGCTAAAAAGCAGGTCAACAGAAGAGCAGATTCTAATTCTAACAATTCTTCAGCTATGCATTTGGGCGGAGGTTCAGCATGGCTGATGTTCTCGTATTGTTCAAGCCAATGTTGTCATGGCTGATTTTTGTGAGTTCTTCCATGCAGTCCCAAACTAGTTCTAAGGTTGTAAGAGAGAATCTAAAACTTTGCCTGAAACAGCCCGTTGAATCCATCCTCCCATTACTACTCCACTTCACTCCACTCTATTCTACCCTACCCTACCCTACACTGCTCTGCTCTGCTCTACTCTATTTTCTTTATAAGATTTTTATCCCATCTTTATTACTTTTATACCTAACTCAGGGCAGAGAACATACCTCATACTCCTACCTCCTCCTATTTTCCCCAAAACAATAATGCTGTAAAGTGGTTTGGGCTGAGAGGTAGTAACTGGCCCAAAGTAACCCAACTGGCTTTCATGTCTAAGGCGGGACATTTTTTCACTTTTCTCACATATCATGTTTCAGATGCTTCCATCCTTGTAAAACAATTTTTTTTCAGTATTTTATATTGAAGTCACTTTCCTGGGACAGCCATCATCAGACAATTTCTAAAGTTCCTGCTAAGGTAGAAAAGACCACAGGAGCTTCACGTCTTTTTAAACATGCCAGTTGGGCAATTCTACACTTGTAGCTCAATAGATCCTTGATATCAAAGATCCTCCTTGTATTTTGCCCCAAGTAATTGTTTATTCGTTTCTCCTTTTTAGGGACCTGACAGTGTCTCGTCCTCTGAGGGTGGAGTTGCCACGTTCTATGGTGGAGGTGGTAACCAGCTGGAATCAGCCCATGTCACAATGGCTAAACTCCTGTGAGAATGCTTACATCTGTCTTGTCTTTAGAACATTTAATGTGTTCTGGGTGGAGCTCTTAGCTTTAAGTGCCTGTGCCTAAAATCCTGTCAATGACTCCACCAGATGGGAATCATATTTGTGGCTCTTTGTCATGGTTCCGAAAGATGAAACTCTTCAAAGAACTTTGAGGCATTGTTTACCTTAAGGAATCTTTACTTAAGCAGCAGATTTCCCCAAATATGTACCTATAACGGTTATATTGGCTGAGGGTGATGGGAATACATCTACAAAAACAAAATGAAGAAAAGCTAGGCTAGATGCTTCCTATTTTTATGCATCTTTCGGTAGGTGCAGACGTAGACTAGGGATTGTTTTAACTTGAAGGTGTAGACTTTCATACGTTTCTAAGGGAATTGCAGTAAGATGGTTGATTCAGTCATGGTTTGGTCAGGATCATATAGATTTTCTGCTCTCACTGGTTTATAAATGGCTGCGTTCATATGTTAAGCCAAAACTAAACAAAGGATATTATACATTGCACTTTGAGTGATAACAATTCTGGAGTTGTGAATTAAAGAATGGATAAAACAACAGAAGATGGAAAGTGGGCTGTGCTTGCTAGCCCCACCTCTACTGATGCATTATGTTCATTGGATTTTGCCCTTACATAATCTGAAGCTATGGGACTGCCTTCCTAGATGTCACGTGTGATTTTAGAATCACTTCTGGGAAGCGTGCTTCTGTAGGACTGTGTCTGTGTTGCAGCATGTGGGCAACTGTGAAATTGCATGATAGAAGCAGCTCCCCCCCCCCACACATACACACACTGCTGGTTATGGGAGTCTAATCAAATAGCTGTTTAAAAAAACATAAAGCTAAAATTAATTTTCGACAGATCCCAAATAATTGTCTATTTTGCTAATTTGGGTCAAGAGATACAGGGCCTCCAATTAAGTCTGATCTTGATCAGCAACAACCTCAAGCCAGAAATAGGCAATAATTATTATAATTAGCCTTCAGGGCTCATTACCAGAAACATGAGGGCCATCAGCATACATACTTTTAAGGCCATGGCTACAAAAAAACATTAGATGGAATAAAACTCTATTCAAAGGCAATATTTTTTATGAAAGCTGATGGTTTGAGCGTTACCAGTAGCTTCCAAAAGGATGCTAATAGTTCATTCTCATAGAGGAGCTGGACGTATAATTCCTTGATGATTGGAATGATGATCCAGAGTTTTTGGAGAGGGCAAGAGAAATGACTCAGCTGATTAATTCTTTCTGTTTCAGATGTCTTTAAGAACTCCCTGAAACTGGGGATCTTCTCAGCCATCATTGTAACCTACGCAGCTAGTGCCCTCTTACACGTGAGTATCCCTTTATAAACTCATCCCCATATTCCATTTCTGCACCTTTTGCAGCACGAACGAATCTTTAAAAGTCTTGAGTGCCAATCTTTAAATGATGTCAAATCAGTGTACCGTGAAGAAATCTCAGTGCATCGTTATACAATGATCTAACAGATTCCATCATCTATAGTTACTTTTCCCATCTCCCCATACATGCAGTAACAAGTTGGGTGATATTTAGGAGAGATTGAGCAAGATAGAATGGCGATAGATAGATAGATAGATAGATAGATAGATAGATAGATAGATAGATAGATAGATAGATAGATAGATAGATTAGATAGATAGATAGATAGATAGATAGATAGATAGATAGATAGATAGATAGATAGATAGATAGATAGATAGATAGATAGATAGATAGATAGATAGATAGATGCTAGGGAAGGTTTCTTTGCACTGTCTCCTCAGTGCTCTGGCCTGGCCTGGCTCACTGCGGTGGGTCTTCACCTTCCCTCAGACCATATTGCTTTGCACTGGGCTCTTTTCTTTTTTTTTTTGTAAAAGTTTTATTATTTTTTTACAATAACAACCTTAGTGCCGGGTGTACAGCGTGTTGTCTTGGTTCATGATTTTTTTTTTACAATCAATAATAGTTAATTAACAGTCAATAATAATTAATTTTTATATTTTATATATCAATTGGTAATATATTTCCTTGATCCTTTCTTCTCCCAATAGTATTCTCCTTCTTCAGCATTAAACAAATATAATTTTTAATATTTAATATTATCCATATATAAATGATTACATAAAACATTTTCTTCTATATTTATATCAACAATAATAGCGTCCATATATAGCATTTTTTTTTCTAGTAAACCGTCATATAAGTGCCATAGTCTCTGTAATTAGCCTTGTCAAGCCGGCCAAAACTCAAAATCCAAACAGTCCAATTTTATATAGTTCTTGTCTTTATATATAATTTTTATAATCCACTGTAATTTTCAATTGTCAAGGTTTCAGTAAAATCAATGTTTTATAACAATTTGTTATAAAACAATTTGTTTTCCAGCTCTTTCAGGCAAGAAGTTCTTATTTTTCTTTTTTTATATATATAATTTCATCAAAATCCTTAAGAATATAATCTGTTTTGGTTTCTGAGTTTGATCAGATTGTAGTGTTTTAAATTTAATTTCAATATGTTTCTTTCCTCCTAAAAGGTTAATTCGCCACTTCTGTCTATGGGGGAATGGGAATGTAGTCCCCTTCCCTCATTTTTGGAGGTTTTTTGCTTTGGGGATCTTTCCCGGGGACTTAGTTGCAAAATAAGGGAGAGAAGCTCAAATACTTTCACCAATTCCAAGCATGCTGGCCCATATATTCATTTTTTTCATGAAACCCAACTTCCTGCTGGTCACTGGCACAACCTTCAATCTAATTATTTTAACTGGTTTTGAGGATGGGCCTTTCAGGTTGACCAAGATACCAACGATGTGACCTTGCTTTCCTGAAACATCATCTCCTAGGCTGCCATTTTGGAAGTTCATAAACTGGATAGTTTAACTTATGTTGCCAGAATTTATGAAGTCTGCCTTCCAGGCATCTAAGATGCTTGCTGTTTTGGATTCACAAAACACGATGAGCTGTTGACATTAAGGTTTATAATGTATAATAGGAATGTAGCATGATGATATATGTATTCATTAACTAAGTTCGTGTGTTGTGGAAATAGCCAAAGATTGACTGCCTGGGAACAGATTTCTATCACTTGCCAACTTAGTGAGATAGGACTGTTTGGTTTGGTTTGGGAGGGGGATGATGGCGATGGGGCTAGAAATCTGGATTTTCAGAGATATGGATTGCTTTCATTCATAATGATTCCTACTCAGTTCTGTGCAGTGAACTTTCTGCAACTAGCAAGAATTGATAGAATAGGAGATGCTAATTATATCTTCCCTTTGAAATTTAAAGCTTCTTCTATTGGAAATTCTCAGAGATACACTCCATAGATTGCTCATAAACTAGACCTACACTAACCTTAAGTGAGGAACTCTTTAGATTCTGTTCAGCAGGATGCTTTATTTATTATTATTTTGATAGATTTAAAAGCATTTCTGTCCCACCTCTCTGGCACTATGGGTGTTTGTCGAAGCTCGTGTTGCCTTTGTATCATCCATTGGTCAACCAAACGGAGAACAAAATCAGTAAACCAAAGGAATGGCAGATTGTAACAAGCCAAAGAAACAAAATAGGCTATGGTTTGTATAGTCCGGCTGACCTTAAATTTGTCAGAGCTGCCATCATACGCTTGAGCTTCACATATGCTAGCTGTCAGTCTGCCATAAACTTTGGGGGGAGGGAGCCAGTGGGGAGGAGGGAAGTACTGCTCATTGTACTTTCCAGAGACACCATCTCAAGGTCTAAGTATTGGGAATGGAATGGAATGGATCACCAACCAGCCCCCATCGAAGAGACAGTTACCAAAACTATTTATTCAAATATAATTGGACAATAAGGGACTAGCAAGGGGGAGGAACTGAACAGGGGAAATTAACCGGGGAAGTTTGGCATGCAATCGTCAGTTCTGGCTTTGCTATATTGTAATCCACTTGGCTTTTAGTAAAAGTATACCTTTCATTACAAATGGAGTCAAGGGTCTTTCTTAACTAAAGGACCAAGTCGGGGCATGTCTGACAAACTTGCTCTTCCTTCCCCTGTGTTTCCTGGCTATTTCCTCTTGGGGGGAGATCTGTTCATATGAGAAGAATTGCTATCCAGTTTTTTAATCCGGCATCTTTGGAAATCAGTTTTCTTGGCGGCTGTTCTGTGCATCTACTTTTAAAAGTGACCTGGTTCAAAGGGGGTTAGATGTGGCTGTTCTAACTGCAATCTCATTTCTTTTAGGGACTGAGCTTCCATTTGGCTGCTGTGCTGTTGTCACTCGGCTTTATCACTTACATCGAACACGGTGAGTCATTCACTGCTGTTTTTCTCCTGCTGAGATGCTCTGCTTCCCTTCCCTTATCTATTGTCTGATTTCTGCGCCAAAGCCAAGTCAGATAAAAATACTATTTTATATATTTTATTGTTGCTCTTATTGTAAATAATAGCCACCTAGAATCACTTGACAGTGAGATGGGTGGCTTATAAATTTAACAAATAAAAATAAATAAATAAATAAATAAATAATATAATAGCTCAGAATTAAGATAACATCCAATGAAACCTATTCCTTAAAAAGATGGGGGGGAAAGCATTCTTCTAATATTCATACTAGAAAGATTTCGGTCAGCAAGTAAATTTTCAGCCACCACTTTAAAAAATGTGATGATAATGCTCACTTTTCCACTTCCTCGCAGTTTTAATGTGGGCACCATCATCACAAAAACCTGCCTGTTAGGAAATAATAATAATAATAATAATAATAATAATAATAATAATAATAATAATAATAATAATAATAGTAGTAGTAGTAGTAGTAGTAGTAGTAGTAGTAGTAGTAGTAATAGTAATAGTAATAATAAAGTTGGAAGGGACCTTGGAGGTCATCTAGTCCAACCCCCTGCTCAGGCAGGAAACCCTATACCATTTCAGACAAATGGCTGTCCAGTCTTGCCAGATGGCACGTAGCAACTTTCAGTGTCTTTAGTAGAACCTCCCTTGATAATTATTATTAGATTTTTACCTAATTTTTCATCTCTCTATCACGTCAGGTAGTTGGACTGAGATAGGATTGGCCAAAGTCACTCAGCCAGCTTCTATACCTAAAGAAGGACTAGAACTCCCCATCTCTTGATTTCTAGGCCAGCACCTTCGCCAATATATCATACTGGCCTCACAAGGCATCCAGATCTATAATTAATTATCCCGAAATGACCTAAGGACAAATGTCATTTTGCAATTCTGTGTACAATCTGTGGCAAAGCTTGGGTTTTTGCATTTTTCTCTCCTCCCTTTGGGAGGAAAAGGATATTCATATCCCAGTATAGGAAATTTGTTTGAAGCAAACATTCCTTAGTTAAGCAAACCAAAACTTAAAAGCCAAATCCTGGACAGCTTTGAGTACAATTTTGCTTGCCTGGTTTCCATTTAGTTCTCAGAAAGAGGTTGTCTGTCATCTTTGATGCCTGTATACTCTCCAAGAAGTGTCAGCCAGGATGCTCACATCGCCACAGTACGGTAAGTATGTGCTGAAATGTCAAGGGATCAAACCCCCTCCCCTTTTACACCTCATGCTAGAGTAATGTTCTAGCACGAGGTATGCAACTTTGACGTTGTAGGACTGCATAGGTCCCTTTGGTTTCTACAACTCATCTGCAAGAAATGGGTTCACACTTCTGTTGCTCATTGTCTCTCTCTCCAGTACAGGAAAAGCAGAATGTCAGTGAAAGAATAAATATCCCTGCCCCCTTCTAACTCTGACCCTGTCCACTCCCTACTTCAACCTTGTCCCCTGCAACCTCAACTGATTGTGCCAAAGATTGTACCTTGAGTCTAGCAGGATCAGGCCTTCCTGATCCTGAAATCTCTTTCAGCTTTTGGGCCTGGAGATCATTGAAGCCTGACATAACAAGGCAGCGTGTGGCTTCTTATATGAAGTCTCTTGACCAGGCTGTTTATGTTGGGGTGGGGCGGGGTAGGGTGAATCCTGCTTGTTTACAGTTGGACTGAATCTCGGATGCTTCTTCTGCTACTACAGAATCTCTGGGTTCGTCTCCTCAACCTGCTCTTTGGGGCTCTTGCTGTCTTCCACTTGGCCTACTTAGGCTCATTATTTGATATGGATGCTGATGACTCTGTGGAAGAACAGGTGAGATAGCCAGGATAGCGGTGAGTGGCAGAATAGAAGTTTTAAGTGATAATTTGTCCTGGACGTATATTTGGAGAGCAGTCCTAAAAAAAATTTTACAGGTAAATGTACTGATGAAAAATCAGCTTTATGACCAGTCTTCGCATTTATGCAGGTCTGTAAAGCAAAGGAAAGCTGAAGTAAGATTATAAACACAGTCATAGTTCCACTTAATAACCATTTTGCTTAACAACCATTCCCAGTCCCAATTGTGGTCGTGAAACAAGGACTGCCTATATTATCTGAGAGACCCTCACTCCTTTATTTTAATCTAACTGATGTAACAATGTGTGGATGTGCCACACAACAGCTAATCTCATCACCTATCTGCATGAGGATGGCAGCAGGTTTAGGGACTGTCCACCAGGGCTTAATGAAATGTCCCTGCAAATTCGGAGGAACTCATCTCTGATCTGCCTTTCTCGTGATGTCTGAAGCCAGATCAGAGTGAAGGCAATAATATGCCATTGCCACACTGTGGTAGAGCAGACAAAGACCGTATCAAAAACTGCTGGGGATCATCACCATCGTCCAGACCACAGAGAGATACAGCTGGACCTCACCTACCAATGGTAATTGAACTGTCACTAAATGATACAGTTGTAAAATGCGAGGTAGTTACAGCAGTCCCAGTTGTTGTTGTTAGGTGACCCCCGCGGAGTTGCAGTGTCCTCGCAGTCATGTGACTGCCGCTGGCAGCTTCCTGCCAGCTTCCCTATTGACTTTGCTTGTCAGAAGCCAGCAGTGAAGGTTACAAAGGGCAGTCACGTGGTCTCAGGACACTGCAAGATCGTAACTGTGAATTAGTTGCGGGGTGCCCAGATTGTGATCCTGTGACTGCAGCACACATGGCAACAGCTGCATTTATAAGGATCATCGTAAGCTCCCTTTGTTAAGTTCCATTGTAACTTCAAAGGATCGTCGAACATTTGGTTGTTCAATGAGAAATGCCTATAATTAAAAAAAAGAGGGGGTGGGGAAATGGGAGTGATTTTATCAAGCTTTGTGTTGCCACCAAGTCACCTGCTCGAGTTAAAAATGTTCAGTTTAGAGCATTGTTTGTGCCTATTGGAGCACAGATTACAGCTACTTGGGTTGAGAGTTGCTCCCTTTTTGCAGTGGTTCACACATAAAATGATTTCCAATGTCTCATCTTGGAGGCTGCTCTTCACCCCACCCCACGTCTCATAGCCAACTTTTTTTTCAATGGAAGGCCAGAATAAGGTGACACTCTTATTTGGCCTAATTTTACTTGTGGCAACCAGCTCTCGGGAAACAAGCATTTATTAAAGATGCTGATGTTAATCGGATAATCAGACCTTTGTTTATTACTTGCTTAAGACTGCACTAGATATTGCTGGTACCTATTGAAATGTAACTTCAATTGTCCTGAGGGATCAAAACTAAAAAACTGTGACAGCAGTGACAGAAAAAAGAAATCCCTCAGTGCAATCATGGAATAGGGGTAAAATCCCGCTAAGAAAGACTCAGCCTTTCTGAACTTCAAGTGGCCATCATCTCCAGCTAATCTGGAAACTACCAGGTCAAGTACCAATTTAGGGGAACTTGCCTGTGACAAAAGGCTAGGCCTATATATTTATTTGGAAGGAGATTGTCTAAATTTTTCCCTGTCTGAATGAAAGCCTCTCCACCGTTGAGAGTTGTCTGTGCCAGAATCTGACTTGGCTGATGTGCTGCTTTTCCCTCCAGGGCTATGGCATGTCTTATACCATCAACAAATGGTCTGAGCTGAGCTGGGCCAGCCACTGGATGACCTTCGGGTGCTGGGTCTTCTATCGTCTCATCAGCTGAAGCAGGACCTTCCTGTGAACTTGAGGAGATGGAGCAGGGGATGGGTGGAGAGGCAGAACTGATAAGACTCCTCACCTTCAAGAACATTGGATGCCCACCATCGACTTGAGTGCCCTGGATATTGACTGATTCCTTCTTTCTCTGGGATGCTGATGGAGGGAAGGAGCTCCCCAGTTTTGTGCCCTGAGGGGGGAGGAATATGCATCCCATGTAGACAAGGCTGGTTGAGTATCAAGGTATTCTCCTGAATACCTATTTTTTAAAAAGCCTTTTCTTCCTTTCCCAACATGGTCTGGACTACAGTATCTATAATATTCTTCCACTGGCTTCCTGGGGCTTGTGGGAGTTGTTATCCAGAGGGTACCAGATTGCCAGTTCAGATCTTGTACACAATACCTCTTTGAGAAAAATCTGGCTCCTGCCAGGTCCTTGTTGACACTCCCTCTAGTGGCAATTGAACAAACAGCACCAGCTTTCCCTTCCCCTCTGAATTATTTTTACTGCATGTTTTGCCTCTTTTTGCTCTCTTGCGGCTGTAGGTGGGAGCTGCACCTGCTGCTTCCGAGGTACCCCTTGTTACTCCTTAATGGAATTCTGTCTTTAGTGTAAAGTCTGATGATTAGCCAATGGGAATCATGATGCTTTAAACTGCATTGAAGATCCTGTTGATTATCTTTAAAAGTAGGGCAGTTTGTGTAGATGTAGTAACTTTCTCTGTTTTGCTTCTGAAGCCCTTGGATTTTTTTTCAGACAATCATGGCAGAAGCATTGTGGAGGCCACGGAGAAGAGGGCTGGAAAGACTGGGAAGGAGCACACGCAATTCTAGCTAGGGATGATCCTCAAGAAGAGCTGAATCTTTTGAAATTTTCACTATCTGAATCTATGGAATTCCTGTTCATTTCAATTTTTATCCACTGTTATATGGTGGCAGAAACTGGCAGCATTTTTTTTTAACCGGAGTGTAGCTGCTCAGATAGTTAATTCAGCAGTGCCAAATTTTGCACAGAAGCTTGAACTGCTCTAGTAATAGCATACAATTGATTTGAATTAACTAATCTGGACTAAGTCTTGCTCCATAGTTTAATGAATATATTGTGAATAAAGTGCCCACTAAGTGTTTAAAAGAAAAAGGAGGGCAGGGAGAGGAGAACCATTGTGGCTTCTTGACATATGTTACCCTCCTGTCTTTATAAATAAATCAAAAGCTTATTTGAGTGGATTGGAGGAAGTATCCCCCAATTTCGGTGATGTGGTATTTACAAGCTAAGGATGGTGTTGTTTCCTTTGTCACTAACACACCGATAATCCCATGACAGGATCTCTCCTGAAATGCATGCAAGCTGTTTAGGTGGTATACTTCCCATGAGAAGGACCACCCTGCCATTGCAGCAAGGAATTAACCTTTAACCTGTGTTTGTCAAGGGGAGGCAAGATCATGACTGGAAACAATAGGATCAGAACATTCAACAAGGACAATGTCCAAGAATGGAAAGCTGGAACACTGAACAGTTCTTGAACTCTCTTCTCCTGTAAAAGAAAGCTAAATGCAGACAAGCCTTTTTCGTGGGGCAGGTAGTCCTGGACTCGCAACCTTCATTTAGTCATTGTTTAAAAGGACAACAGCACTAAAAAAAAAAAGTGACTTAGAATTGGTCACGCTTAAAACTTGTCACAACATCCCCTCAGTCCCATGATCAAAATTAGGCCGCTTTATAATGGTTGTAGCATCCTGGGGTCATGAGGTCACCATTTGTGACCTTTGTGGATAGCTTCTGACCAGCAAAGTCAATGGGGGAAATTGGATTCGCTTAATGACCGTCTGATTCACTTAACTGCAGTGATTTGCTTAACGGCGGGGCAAAAGAAAGTTGTAAAATTGGGCATGATTTACTTCACCACCACCTGGCTTAGCAAAGGAAAATCTGGTCCCAGCTATTATCATAGGTTGAGGACTACCTGTACTATGGAATTCAGTTCTCTCCATTTGCAGGCCCAGCAGAAGAAGGTGGTAGAAGGCGCTAGACCGCTCCAGGGGTGAAGAAAGGCGTCCTTTTTGAAAATGGCTGCTCTTGTTTTGTTTTTTTAAAGTGCACATAGTTTGAAATGAAATAAAATAATAGAAATGTGCCCAGCAGGGGATAAGCAGTACTTTTAAAATGGTGGGGTACAGACAGTGGTGGGATTCAGCTAGTTTGCATTACTTCGGCAGAACCGGTAGCTAATTTTTTGTTGCCCAGGCCCAGAATGGACTTCCGGAAGCGGCATCCACACAGAGGACCGGTTGTTCGCATATTTGAATCCCACCGCTGGGTACAGATCATTCAATGCTATCCGGAGCAGTGCCATTTTTTTCTACCTCATGGGGCATCCATAAAGCAGGACTAGCCTGCAGAACATCCTAGCAGAGACAGGTTTCTTGGCTGCATGATTTCAGATGACATAGAGTTTGATCTTAACAGGCCAGATGAATTCAGTTCATGAGAAGATATGCGACAGAAGGCTGCACATGGAGTTTTCTCTGGTTTTAAAAAATAATGCTTGGATTTATAAAAGTTTGGAGAGCCATGTTCTGGAGGTCTGGTAGAGTCATTAGCTGAATCAGTATGGGTAGACAGATGAGACCCACTTATGGCACCTGACTCATTATTGGACAACAATATAAGTTCCTGGCATATTGAAAGTTAAATGGTTTTGTGAGAAGCTATCGCCCTTTCTCTAACATGCTACTTTATTATGTGCGTTGCCATTTTTAAAAGTGTTTGTGTGAAAAAGCGACCCACACACCAACTACAAATGGAAGTATTAGTTTCCCCCCTTATCCAGATGTCCCCCAGAGTGTTGGACTTAAGGTGTCTTCCCACAGTTTTTATTTGCTGGCCAAAATACAATGCAACAATTTAAAAGGTTGTATTGTGATCTGAATTTTGATCACCTTGCTACTCTTCCTTGCCTCTTTAAGGGCACAGCGGAATACATTTGCAACCAGATGCAAAAAATAAGGTCAAAGAGAATATTTTAGCAAATAATGCTTGTTTTTGTCTGATACTGGTGCATGTTGAGCCTCTCTCTTCCATCCAGCTGTTTAAAACCCTGGATTCTGATTCCTTTTAGCATTTGTTTATCTGCTAATCCTTCTTCGGTTTTGGAGGAATCAAGATCTTGCTGGAATACAGTCTAGCTCCATTCCAAGTCTTTTTGTGGACTACACTGTCAAAATACCAGGATATGTCTTCTCTCCCTTGCTGGGTGAAGCAGAAGATGCTATGGACCATAGGTAGACTATTAAATGACCAACTATTCTTTTTTTTTAATATCTTTGATTTGTTTATAAAATAAATATTCAGTGGAAACACATGGACAATTTTCCGATGTTTTACATGTTTTACTCTTTATAAATTTGTGTGATGTTTTCCTTTTGAGGAAAAGGCTGGTATGAAGTGTTCTATGAAAATTCTATACAGTATTTTCCAATTATTTTAAATCTAATAATCCAATTTCCCCTTGTCTCAATATCTCCCTTTAGCCCACTGGTTGACAGTTTAGGATGCTCTCTAGTAAGGCAAAAGGCCCCAGTTTTTCAACCTAATTCTAGCTTTCTTCTTTTGCCAATCAGGCTTCCATATCAGTGCTTTTAAATCATTGAACAAATCTCCATTCTTGTGTATGTTACTTGAATTAAAGGAGACCATCTAATTGCCAATTTTCTAAAAGCTCTAACCCACTTATAATCATTAATTTGTTGTCCTAGTAACCCAGATCCCCGTATTTGCTCTGGTATAGTTGTCTTCAATTCGATCTGGTCTTCTTCTTTCTCAGGTTTCTTCTGATTTGTATAGAAAGTGATTTCCAGTTTTATAGTAGGTTCTTTAATTGCAATCAGGTTTTCGCTTTGTAAATTTAAGCTGGCACCTTGGTCTTTCGGTCTAGTTTTGATTATCTCAGTGGCTTCAAGATTTTTTTCAAGTATAAGTTTAAACATAGCCAAACTTTTTTGCTGCTCCTCCTCCATTTCTGACATGGTTATAGATGGTCTTTTAGTGAAGGCTATTTATTAAACAAGAGTCAGTAAGTATTCACCTCCACAATTCCTAGAAACCAATTTCACTGCCCAGCTGCTCTCTCAGCTTTTGATCTCTCAGGTCCGGGCTATGAGCAAGTCTCTTTGTCAAAAGTAATAAATTGCTGTACCAAGCTTTGCCACAAGATGTCCCTGATAGCATTTAAAGCAGTGGTTCTCAACCTGTGGGTCGGGACCCCATTTGGGGTCGATCGACCATTTCATGCGGGTCGCCAAGCAAGGCTGTCCGCCATTTTTTTTGTCCGCCATTTTTTTCCCCCTTTTCCGGCGGGTGCCTTACCTCCCTTGGGCTGGGCCAGCTGGTGGTCGGCCTGCTCCGTCTCTGCTGCTTGCCAGCTACGCCTTGGCCGGCGCAGGGGGGTGAACCACGCATGCGTGGCGCTCCCGGTCAGGGAAAGTCCTCGACTTACGACCGGTTGGGTAGTCCTCGACTTACGACCGGTTTAGTCCTCGACTTATGACCGGTTTAGTCCTCGACTTATGACCGGTTTAGTCCTCGACTTACGACCGGTTGGGGTCGCGGCATTAAAAAGGTTGAGAACCACTGATTTAAAGTCTTTTTCAGATCCCGGGCTAGGTTTTTATCCAATTTAAGTTCTTTTTCTTCTTTTTTATAAGTAAATAAAATAGCAGGTCCCTGTAAGAGTAGGAACTTTTTGGGTCCCCAAATTCCAAAAGGATGTAAATCCAATTATATTAAGTTATTCTTTTCAATGCTTTGTTTCCCCAGATAATCAAACACCACCATTTTAGAGTGTGAGAGGAAAAGGTTCCCTTCCCTCTCTCCTCACAGGGGGAAGAGTCTTGAGGAAGCTTTTAACAGGAAAAGTACTTGGGGTACAGAGAAGGTAAAATCTCACCCTTTTTCTCCACATTGCTTTCAAGGTGCTTGTTAGTGAATTTGGCCTCGGCTGTCAGCAGCTTAATGATGGGCCATGTTGATGGCCGATCTTTTCCCCATCAGTTTGAAGAGCAGCCCCGGATCAAACGGGAGGGCTGCTGCCCTTCCGCGATCACTCAGAGGTCCTCTTCGTGCTCGTCGCCCCTACAGGGCAACTTCTGACCCTCTTCAGGGTCCCCCGGCAAGAGAAAACCAGACGGCAGAGAGCGATCGCCCTGCATGTCCGCCAGCACCACGATTGCAAATCGGAAGTCAAAGTATTTATAATTCTTGAGCAACAGCTGTCAGATACTATTTGCCAGTTTTAAGCATTCACTGACTAATTCAACATGGAAATAAAAAGAATCTTCAAGTAGCTGAAACACTTTATATGGACAGAAGCAAGCCATGAGCCCCTCTTAATGCTACCTTCTACCTGATCTGAGAATAAGATTGAATGTTTCCCGCATAGTCTCTATACTTCAATTTTATGAATGCTAGGTGTGGGGCCCTCCTTGCAGGCTTAACTGATCATAGCTGCAGGTATAAAGAGAAACAAAGCTATATGGTCTACAGCAGGGCTCAGTTCAATACTGACTAGTATTAGCTGAGTCACTTGTTCCTAATGACATTTATTTAGAAATACAATCTCCTGGTTTTTTAAAAAAAACCCTTCATGAAGATAAAACTGCAGTCTTAATTTTAAGCTCATAGCTTAAGAGCTATGAATATTTAAAGAAGAGAATAACCACCATTAAACAGAGAAACCACAGAAAATATCTAAACAAGTGCAGAGGAACAGGAGGAATACAAGATCAACCTCTGAATGGCTGGAAGTACCATCCAATATGACCTCCTGTGCAAAATATCAATGTCTCTTGACCTTGTTGGCATCTGTTATTCTCTGGCAAGCACTGAGGTGCTTCCAGGCATCCCAGGTGAGAATAGAGGGAATGATAATCCATAGACTATTCAGAAAGACAAAGTAAAACCAGAAGTAGGTAGGGTGCCACATCTCACTATGACGAAAGCCATTACGGTATTCAGTGTAGAAGTACAGAACGTCACCATATATATGACCTATGGTTAGAGATAGACAACATGGCTGATTAAAGTAGGAAGAAAAGATCAAAAGTGGACAAGCCAAAAAAGAAATGCAGTCAGGTGTATGGAACATTAACCAAGAATAGAAATTGCTTTTGAAAGATTGCATTAACATTTATATATCCTGACATACCCACCTCCCCGTCTTGCATACCTACCTACTGACACCACTAGCTGCAGCACGTATCGATGGGACTGGCGTGAAAGAAATGCGACTGCAGTCCAAAGACTGAGGGGAGTCAAAACACAGAGAGTGACAGTTTCCACGCAAATTATAAAATTATCTGATCTGCAGATACAAAAATGAAATGAATGTCACCTTGAGGTCTCAAAACATCCCAACTTTCTTACAGTTCACTACATTCAATCTGGAGAGGGAGAAAGGGGATGATGGATGGATAGATGGATGGATGGATGGATGGATGGATGGATGGATGGATGGATGGATGGATGGATGGATGGATGGATGGATGGATGGATGGATGGATGGATGGATGGATGGATGGATGGATGGATGCATGCATGCATGCATGCATGCATGCATGCATGCATGCATGAAAATTCACAAAGATAATAAACCCATCTCAGGCCAAACTGCAGAATTTGATGCAAGTGAGGAGAGTGAACTGGTGCAGGTTCTTTCTATTCAAGCCTTGCCCATTTTATTTTCCCAAGCTCAATTACTATGGCTGAGGGGAAAAGAGAAAAAAACGAATTAAAAATAAATGGGGAAAAGTAGAATTTAGCCATCCCTTGCAGATAAAATAGTCATGCTCATCAACCAGATCTTCCACTGACCTGGGGGAACCCCACTGATAATACTCATCTCGAAAGTTCATACATATGAGACTGGAAAACAAATGTCATTCCCCCATATGCTCTTTTAAGGCATGAATAGAATTCAATGGGAGGTTTTTTTCTAAAATAATTTAGAAATATACAAGATTAGGATCCTTAAAAAGAAATGCAGGAATTCTTTTAATTTTGTTGTACTCGCCCTATTAAAAAATTATCTTGGCAGCAGAAAATATATTAAGAGAACTCATGCAAAAGTTTGAACATCTCAGCTATGTTTATGTTTGCATTATGTCAAATCATCCTTTCCCTATCCCCACACTCAGACCAGGTAATTGTGTTCAAAATTGCTTAATGCTGGATCTTTGCAGAAATATCCAGACCTTTGCCAGTCATTTCAAAGTTAACACTTACATCATATATCTGCTGTCACCTTTGCCATATTCCTTCCCTGGAAGATATAAAGAGAAATTAGTAGAAAAAGAAATTAATGGGAACTGCAGTAGGGACAGTTTGTGAATTTCCCTGTATTTTTCTTAAATATTAATTATAACAGAGTTGTGCACCACGCTTTAGATAAAAGGCAAATAGATGCTTGGAACACCCAGAAGGGCAGAAGTGACATCTGTCTCCAACTCCTTAAACCAAACACAACTGTTCTGAAATTTCCAAGTACTTCCTATTCTAGAAGGCAACTTATAATGAATGTGAGATTATACAGACCACATGAATGCTATCACGCCAATAAAACTTTCTAAATACACGAGGACTTACTTAAGCCTAAAATCATGCTTTTTGGTAACATGCAAATATTAAGAAACATGGATTTTCACTTCTCGATAATACTAGAAAGAATCAAATACTCTTAAATTCAGATGTAGTTGTCGAATTTGAAGGTTTCAATGTGTTGTATGTGTACCCCATTCATTATGGCTTATTCAGCAAACCATGGCATAGTCAGATGTGCAAAGTGAATTATTGTGACTAATATAAAACACAATTTTTCTAATCTGATTTCTGCTTGCCTTATTGTTACAATTTCAAAGCATAGCATTATAGCTATATGTTTTTTACCTAGACTTTTATAAGGATTAAGTGATTTGATACTGCAGATTCTGTACTGCTGGCTCCAATTCCCAGGAGCCGTTATGGGTAAGAGCAACGGGACAGGATGCTGGGATTTATAGTTGAGAAAGATCTGGAAGTTTGATGATCTTTCAGCTGACATACTATTATCACTTCTGCAAAAATTGCAGCTTTCTAGGTATATATATTAATATAAATATATAAACCAACTTGTCCATTTTAAAAACTTTCTCATTTTCTCTCACATATGTGGAAAGCATTAGGTTGAAAATGCTCCATGGATTAATCTCAACAAATAGTAACCTGTCTTCAATCAAACTTATTTTATCTACAACAGATATTGTTACATCTTGTTGTTGATATACATGCTATATCTAATTGGACCATATTCTATGTGAAGGCTAATTCAGGAGTTTGGGGAAGAAAAAGGAAATAATTAGGGAACAGATTGGCTAAAGTGCTGGTCTAGAAAGCAGGAGATTGTGAGTGAATTTAGGCCTGTTAGTCTGTCAGGCTGAACCACTTCACACATAGTTCTTTTGTGGAGTATTAGATATAGAGGATGCAGTATTAGATATGTTCACTGCCTTGAGTTGACACATACAGTGAGGCAAATTTTAAAAAATGTAAAAATACAGATACAAAATGAGCTGAGCCATATGGCAAACATCTTCCAACCACTGAGGGAAATACAGAGGGTTACATCTGCAAAATATTGGTATCCTCTTACATATTCCAATTCTAGATGAGTTTCCCCCCCAGGGCTCTCTTTAATGCTCTCCCTCCAGCTAACCTGGAGAGTAGACTCTAAAACTTTTCAATAAAACAGCGGTGATTCAAAAGCACAGGAGGGCACATATATGTTATTTGTGCAGTGCTTTATGTCAAATGCATTTTCTCAGCATCATGGTGCAGCTGCAGAGAACAGCCAGGCAACCACAGGGAAAAATGCATTGCTCTAAAGTAGTCCTTTTTCACATTCCATTCCACAGCCCTAGCATGCAACCTTTAACACAGGTTCCCTAAGGATAATTATATGTGGAAATCTATTTGCGGCCATGATTTCAGTTTTCACATCATATCAAGTTCCTATATGTGGCACTTTCCTTATGAACTATTAAGAATCAATAGCTCTACATGTACAAAAAAATGGATAGAGCTCTACATGGAGAGCATAGCAGAAGCATTAAACTATTCCAGTGTTATAACAGCTGAATCCAGTGTTATCTGCACATTTTATATTTTCCTCTCAGTCTTATTGCACAATTGTAATAGGTGCCTTTCAAAGGTACAGTCAAAAAGCTGCCTGCAGATACAAAAACCAATCAATCTGGAGATGTTAACAGGGAAGCCACCAGGAGGTT